GGCTCCTGACTTGGGACAGGCGCAAAAATGTTTTGTGAGATCTCAACCCTCTCCCTATACCTCTAACTAATGAAGAATAAAGAAACACATAGCAATACGCACAGTAAAACTCAGTTTAAAAGAAGTCCGAGTCCGATGTCAGCATTCCTGATTCAGGTGGGTCCTGAGGTACGATTCTGATACAAAGGGTTTTTACAGTTTTGTTTCTTTTTTATTTACCCTTGTTTTTGTATTTACCTAATGTTTACTTTATTGAGAAAGTATATGATATACAGTATGTACTACCAAACACTTTTTTGTTGACGTCATTGTGAAATTTACTATCTAATTCACCTTTTTTGTTAGCGTCTATGTTAGATTAAATTGTGTGTTTGTTTGTACAAAAAAAAACTGTATTTTTTAATCAGGTGTGTTGTATGTCTGTGGTGAATGTTTACACAGTTTTGGCTGCTGGATCCCAATTATGTTCACCTTAACCTATTATGTCTAGTTGGGTTGCTCACCTAATTTTGTCAATATAACGGAACTATAAACAACTGTCATATAAGTGGGAGGTTTAGCTTGCTCTCAAAAAAGGTTAAACCCACCATTTTCTTCGGAAAATGTCTGTACCAAGTCAGGAATATAGCACTTGTTTTTTCACTTGTTCCTTTGATTGATAGCGTTCGATTTTTTTTTTTTGATTTTTTTTCTCAGTTTTTATGGAATTCCCATTTTGGAGTTTGCCTTGGAGTTTGATATTTTTGTTATACTTTTTTATGGACTAAGTATTTTAGCAATATGGACTTACATGGCACCGAAGACATTTGGTTAAAAAAACCTTCGGGTGGTCACTGCCTATCCACTATCCAAATATTGCGTTTATTTCTTTGCAGACAAGACAAGCCAAGACTAATACTTTATTAAAGTCTCACCTCATGTACATATATATATATATATAACACAGCGTATACTATAAGCCATTTTTAAATGAGTTACGAGAGACTGATTAAAACAACATTTGCTTAAAAGAAATATAGACAAGTATTTAACCCATTTGTTACATAAACATGTATAAAGGTAAACAATAGCGTATACATAAGCCACTCTAAAATGAATAACGAGAAAATGATTAAAACAGATTAATATAAAAGTAATGTATTTTTTCACCTTAACCTATTATGTAATATGGACAAGCATTAAACATATAAAACACTTTTTCTTTTTGATAATATATCGTAGCAGATTTGGACAGTATAAAATTGAATATCATCTTTATTAAACATTACTATAAGTTTTTCATTATCATACATATTCATAAAATTAATATGGATGATGAGTTGGCATTGAAGTGTACATAATTGCATGCTTAATCATGAACACATAATCACAAAAACGTAGGCAACTGAGCACATTTATATGTTGTTTTGTTTAAAAGAATGCATTGAAACATCAATATATATACCATAACAAAAATTGTTTTTTAAATCGTGTATATTATGCAATAAGTAATGAATCATCGATAACTCAAATCAATGAAACAAACATGATAGTTTAAATATTCTAACAAGAAAAAAGAAAAAAACATTGACAAGGAGTTTAAGTCTACATTTACAATTCATTTATTCCTTTAATTTTTAACTCTTGAAATTAAGTCAATCAATAAAAGCAAAATCCTTCGAGAACAATGCAAGTAATCACTTTATGTTGTCATTGTCATGATATAATAGTGATAAAAGAAAAAGTGCATCGATTCTTAAACACGAAAAGTGATGGGATATGAAAAAAACAACGAAAAAATAAAAGATAAAGAATTGAAAACAGTTTTTACACGAAAAATATTTTGTTTAAATGTTTTACAACACTTAAGGATATGATTGTACCAAGTCAGGAAAATGGCCATTGTTATATTAAAGTTCGTTTCTGTGTGTGTTGCATTTTAGTGTTGTGTTTCTATTGTGTCGTTGTTCTCCTCTTATATTTGATGTGTTTCCCTCAGTTTTAGTTTAATTTGTAACCCAGATTTGTTTTTTTCTCAATCGATTTATGAATTTTGAATAGCGGTATACTGTTGCCTTTATTGCTTTGAATAATCCAGAGTCTCTATTAACCAGTATTATGAGAAGGTTCGAAGATTCCAATGGGGTAATGAAAACCTTATATATAGGTGAGGTGCAGGAACAAGGGCTTCATTTTCATAAAGATGACGTGAAAGAGTAAAAGCTTCATTTTCATAATATCAATTTAGTGGTACTTAAGTCTTACAGATTAATTTGTTGCAACTCATATAAAGCCGTCTTATGTAATGAAAAAAAGGAATATGCTAGATATACTAACTTGGACTGCTATGAGATGTATGGTTTAAATTTTCTTCTTAACAACATCTATTTACGTTTCGGCAATGAAGTTCATGGACAGGTTGTATGATTTCTTATGGGTATCAATCACGCCCCTTTAATGTCAGATATGTCCTGTTTTGTTATGAGTCACAGTTTATGGCCAAACTCAGTAAAGATCCGTCAAATTATACATTTAGTTGATAAATCTAAAAACACTTACTGTTACCTTGATGATATGTTTGCTTTGAATTATCAAGATTTTTTTAATTTTTGTGCGGAAATATACCCAAAGGAACTTGCTTTAAATAAATCTAATAAAGACAGCACTTACCGATCTTTCCAAGACTTAGAAATTTCAGGTTCGCACAGGAAAATCTTTAAAACAAATTACGGCAAAAAAGACGATTTTTCGTTCCCAATTTTCCCTTTGATCCTTATGTCCCTTCTTACGGTGTGTATATTTCACAAATTGTTCGTTATGCCCGTGCCTGTAGTCGCGTTTTAAATTTTAATGAATGAAATTTATGTGTAACTTATAAATTATTAAGTCATGGATTTCGTTACCACAAATAATTAAAAAGTTTCCAAATTCTTTCATAGATACAAAGATTTGGATTGGGAAGTTTGGCTGTTCCTGTACAGTTCTTATCTAAAACGGGATTTCACCCTAATTTTTACGGTGATGTTGTTTATAAGCCCGTAGATGTAGATATGATCCATGTAAACTAATTGATCCTTTGAATAAACTTATTCTTAAAGGTTATCAATTTAGCACAGTAGTAAAATCTTTAAATATTGCTTTTATTGGTACTAAGATTGACTTGGTTTTAAATAATTAAAATCTAACTAAATATTAATTTCTATACATGTGCAGTTATGTGATTATCCTACATCCTGTAGATACTGTTGGCTTATATTTTGGCATTGCACAAGATCATTCGTTTTTCAGACTGTTTATGCCGTCTTTACACTATTACATTCGTTGGATGTGTACTTATTGATACTGAAATCTGGGAGAACATAATTTATTCATTAGTTGTACTTGGCTTTTAACTAGCTTCCAGTAACTGCAAGTACTCTAATTTCGGTGCTCTGTGTCTATTGTTTTTATTTTAGTTGTTTTGTACCTCGTACCGATCTTTTAAGTAAGGTCAATTGCTACAGTTTGTTCTGATGTTGTGCTGTTAGGGGAGGGTTGAGCGCTCACAAACATGTTTAACCCCACCACATTCTTTATGTGCCTGACAACCCTCCCCCTCCCAAGTCATAACCATATAGTTCAGTGGCTGTCGTTGGTTCATGTCAGTCATGTTTGTTTTTTGTAAATGTTTTTTTTTTATAAATTATGTCTTTATTTTTCTCGTTTTAACTGTTTCACATTTTAACGTCGTGCCTTTCATAGCCGACTATACGGTATGTGTTATTCTCATTGTTTAAAGCCGTACGGTTGCCTTTAATTGCTTACATTACTTCATTTAAACTATGGTGGATATTTGTGTCATTGGCAATCATACCACATCTCATTTTTTATATTAAGGGATTGTACGTATGCATTATTGTATCACCTTGCAATAATATGTACTTGGCTTGACTTATGTTTTATACAGCAGTTGGTTGAAATTTCTGACCAGTTGAAAAGTTTGAATTGATAACCATAATTTCAAATGGGGCAAACGTTTGAATAAACTGCAATAGGGGAGAGCAACACGTACAGTCAAGTCACAGTAAATGAGAAAGGCATTTTGTTTCAGTCAACATGTGCACAAATTGAATTTTGTTTCTATCGTCTTTTTTCGTCAATGATATCAAGACATAAAAACAACGATTTCATTTTTTACTGGTGTTTGAATTTGCAAAGTAACTTCCCGTTTCGTGTATATTTTACAGAGAGAATAAAAGCAATTGAATGAAATCTACTTTTTGAAAATTAAAATGTATAATTTCGATACTAAAATATAAAAAAAGGATAGAGGGAATTCGTAGATGTGTTTTAATTTTTGTTTTATGAAACTTGCAGTACGTGAGCAACGATTAAACCATAGAGATAATATGTCATGTATGTCTGAATTTTTATTGCAGATAATCTTGTATAAATGGGAAGAAAGTATGAAAAACGTATCTTTTACGACACGGAATGGGTAACAGTAACCTTCCTCACTCTCAATAAAGGCTAAGCAATTGTTTTTTTTATATTTATTTTATGTTTGGGAACACTGCCGTCAATAGTCGATGGCAATCCAGATAAACGAAAACCGTCAGGTAAAGACATGTACTTAAGAAATAATTTGGTGAAAGTGTCTTTCGAATAATCGTATGCCGAAAAAGGTTAGAACACAACATGTTAAAGTACAAACTTTGACAAAAATCAGATCACTTAGGATAAAGAACATCTTAAAAAGACAGAACCGTACATTTTACATGTTATATGAAATAATGGGACCTGTTTAGAATTCTATGGCAGACTAGTTTCTTAGTCAATCGTTGTATTTGACTCATTTTTTTCTGTATCTATTTATATCGCTTTTACCATATAATGTCGTTATTATGAAATATACGTACATAAATATAAGTATCGAATTTAACTGAGTCATGACAATGTTGATTAGTACCTGGCAACAAACAATATCACGTGTGTATGCAGGGATTTTCCAATACATTGGTATAAATAAAATGCTGCTGAAGGCTAAATCAATATTGGACTTGTAACTGTAATACAAGTTACACATTAAACTGTTATATTAGATCGGAAACAAAGTAAGATCTTTATCAGTATGAAAAATATTGTTTTTGAGGACAAACTGGATCCTAAGTCGTTATTCGTTTCTGTCGATGGTTTTTTGAGTCCGATTCAAACAAAGTCAGCACCGAGCTCACCTTTGACAATACGCAAATATTCAAAAGTAAACATTCTGAAAGAGGACGAAAGAAGACGAAACAGTTTACCAATTTCAACAGAAAAAATCTTTCCAGACCCTTACACGGATAGAAAAACGAAACAGTGCAAAAGAATACGTTCTTTTAAAACGACATCAAAAGGGGTTCCAAAGGCTACAGAAGGGGACAGACGGGAAAGCAATGTCAGTGTTACTTCACTTCGAGACTTTAACCGACAAAGAAAATCAAGTGACACATCAGAGGACAGTTCCCTGTGTTGTGGGTGTTCCTCAACCTCTTCGTCCGGATACTATCGGGTTTGTGTGATGGGTGCTGATGCTGTTGGCAAACGTACTTTGACAACTCAGTTTATGAGCTCTGATTTCATGTGTTCACATATTTTTGAAATAGGTAAGTATTTTCGTTTTATTTGTCTGTTTCTTCTTTAATTTGAAGTATTTTTGGGACAATGCAATACAACGAATATACAAACAAAAGAGAAATGAAAAGTACAACAATTAACAAATAAACGAACAATGCCTTATTTGGCACAACTTTCGGAATTAAGGTTTTTAATGCTCTCTAAAAAGTTGAATACACTTTTTCAATTCATGCGTCCGATGCGCTTTTAGCCTTCCAACTGTTTTGAATTTGAGCGCTACTGGTGAGTCTTTTGTAGACGAAATGCGAGTGTTGCTACCAAATGATAAAACTAGTTTCGTTGATGAGTTTCTATGTCATCAGGTATTAAAATGCGTTTTACTTTATAATGACAAAACACATTTTATTGAAGACGCGCGACGTGTCTGTGTACATTTTATTATGAGCTATCTGATCATTATTATGCGTAAAGTATCATTTTTTGTAGGGAGGCTCACTTTGAAGGAAAATATAAAAGCTCAATAATTTTCTCCTCACACTTTTGGTTCAATTATATAAGCTAGAAGTTCTTTAAAGCCTGTGTCGCTCACCTGCCTTTTTAGTAAAAATCATCATAAGAAGGGAATAACTCTATTAAGAGTTAACTGACAAATTCAGTCATGTTGACGATATTGTAGACCCTAACCTGCTGATTATTTTTCCTTTTTTAAATTTCTATTTATCTATTATAGTTTTCAAGATTATAGGCAAAAAAGGCTAAAAAGTGGTAAATAAGGGCAATAACTCCAATATCAAGTCAAAAAAACGATTTTGGTCTCTAATTTGTTTGTAGATCTTGTCTTGCTGGTCATTTTTGCCTAAACATTTCTGTCTCTTTATTATATTTTTCAATGGGCAGCAATGCAAAACAAATTTGGAAAATCGTCTTTAAAGAGTATAATCTTCAATAAGAAGTCGACTAAAGATTTCGGTCATGTTTGACTTATTGTAGATTAGGTCTCTTTTATCATTTTTGCTATTCAAAGTTTCTGTCTATCTATTATAATTTTTCGAGATAATAGGCAAAAATGAAAACAATTGATCAAATTCATCGTTTCTGGGCAATAACTCCTTTAAGAAGTCGTATGACAGTTTTAATGTAAATTATTATGTAGATATGATCATTATAAACATTTTTGATTCTGTTAGATTTTCTCTATCTATAGCGGTTTTCAAGATAACAGACAAAAATTGTAATTTACCCCGATGTCCTTTTTTTTGCCATGTCAGCCATTTTTTCGACAGGCGAGGTCGTCGTTTTGTTTGTTAAATTTTCTATTGCTGACTTAACTGAATTCACTTGTATATAAAAGACAATTTATAGTATTACTTCCGATAAAATTTAGCTGTGAATTATGATGTCTGTTATTTTTGCTGGCCCGACGACTTAGCGTTGGATGTCCCATAATATTCGCTCTGTCTGTATGTCTGTCTGTCAGCATTTCTTTGTCGTATGATAAGTCAAGTTTGCCCGAACGGATGTTCTGAATCTTTATTCCACAAAAAATGTATATAAATATTTATAAAAGATAGGTCAATTTTGTTTTTTAATAAATTTTAGAAATTAACTGCGTTAAAAAGTTATTTTTTGTCCAAAAACTTATTTAGATTCAGTTCAGTAAATGTATAAATTTCAAAAGCTTCATATAGTTTTAGAAGTGTTTGCATGACCACTTGATTTTATAATAATATAAATATACCAATCGATCGGTTAGGAACTTTGTTGCTACTCAAAGTTTAATCTTTGAATAATGTTAAAATATATCTTTTAGGCGATGTTGAAGACAATTTGTTAACGGTAGTAATAGACAACGAAGAGTCCACTTTAGAATTTGTTGATTTCTCAGAGGACAAGGTGAGATCTTTATTCAATTTATCGACTAATTGTACGACTGTGTAGAAAACAAAAGAGCAAAATGAAAGAGAGAAAAAAATTGAATTCAATCACATACTCATTACTTAATCCCTCCAAGCTTTAGCTGTGATTAGTTTCAATTGATTTCTTTATTCTTGGAAGGATTTCAATAACGTTTTCAATTTGTGTCGTTATTGCCTGTTCATAGATATGCTACAAAGGTTTAGGCGATAAGGAGAAGGTGAATTTCTTTAACTAGTGTAGAATAAAAACTGTATACTTTACTATGATATGTAGGGTAAACAAATTCTTCATTTTTTTCTGTGGAGTATTTTGTGTTGTGATACATATGTTTGGCCAGTATTTTATGTTTATACATCTTTTTTTTTTTATTGCCTACTGTAGTTAGTTAAGATTTATTTCATATAATTCAGTGTAATAAAAGTGTTTGGACGCGAATTTTGTATTATCTTTTATAAACACTTGTGTGTTGCTTTTTAGAGTTTATTTGATAGGCAGAATATGTCAATAAATTATTCATCGTTTAATTTGCTGAATAATAGCATTGTAATGATTTTTTTAAATAGTGACACTACGGAAATCAATAATTGTGAATTCATTGAGAAAATTACCGATAAGGATGAGTCACTAAAAATGTTTTACCTGGATATTTTTATATGTTTTCCATTATAATATCCGCAGAATCAAAGCTATGCAAAACAGTGCTGCACTTTAATGATATTTGTTTTTATTATAATGACAAAAAGAACAAATGATGCTAGATACAAATGTATGTGTACAAACATAAACTACTAGTTGAACTAGAGACACTTAGGAAGCTAGATTTTACTAATGCAAACCATTTCTGTACCGAAAGTTATAGAAGTATCAGAGAAAAGACACTGGTGGTCTTGTGTTACGTGGACTCTTTCTTCCTATTACCGCTAATCATCACGGAAGATCCAATAGGATCTGTGTTTTTGATTTCGATTGTATTGCTCTCCTGTACAGCAAGATTTTAGCTTGCCTGCTGTCGATTGTCAATACAATACCAATAATTTTGCTAGCATGTTAAACTGATTGTATTAGCTGAAGATGCATCTAAAGTAACGATAGTCGGTTAATGAGTATGATATAAGAAAAAAAGGAAACGCGCATATTTATTTTTAAATTTCGGGTAGTAAACATTGTTGTAAATTAGTTCATTTAAAAGTTTTATATGACAAGCAAATTCATCTAAACATTATTTAAACATTCACATCAATTTGTTTCATAATATGAAACTTCCAGCATAATTTCTTTTACTTTCTAATGACAGGCTCAGGAACAGCAGGTCGATGCTTACATTGTTGTGTTTTCTGTCCACGAGAAGTCAACATATGAAGTTGCTGTTCAGTATATACAATATATCCGCAATGACATGGACAGTGATAGACCAATAATTATTGTAGCTAACAAAGTGGACCTTGTAAGAAAAAGACAAATTAGTAATGAAGGTTAGTTTAATTTTGTGAAAATATATTTTGTCGCAATAGTTGTCGGATGATGAAAGGAGACAATGGTTTTACTAAAGAGGCAAGAAACAATGCAGATATATACGTTATATTCAAAAAACAAATGTGAAAAAGTATTTTCCTTACTTATTATGACGAAATAAGATATTTCCTTATACTCTCACATTGACATAGATGTAACAGTGTCCCTGTTTTATTACATAAACAAGATGTTAGTTTCAGGGAAGAAAGGACCGCACACACACTATTATAAAAATATCAAGTGATCATGAACAATACAAAAACATGTACATAGAAGTGTATTTTTTATATTTCAGATGCCAGGAAATTAGCAACAAAATATAATTGTAAATATATAGAGACCTCTGCAACATTGAATGTAAAGGTTGATGAACTACTTGTTGGAATACTTAAACAGATCAAGTTAAGACTAAATCCAGATATTGAAAAACCTAAGGTGGTCTCCTCACGTAGAGACTCTTTATTGAAAGGATCCATTGATATGCTGGGCAAACTTTTTCACCTGAAACATAAAAGCAAATCAAGCTTTGATGATGTTTTGATGTAAACTACTTTGTCATATTGCTAACAGTGTTTATAAGTAACTCGGCTGTACTGATTTTTTCTCGACCATTCTGAATTGGTCTGAATTTTACTTGATATTATTTAACTCTAGTCTTAACCATTCTAAACAGTCTGAACTTGTACTCGACCACTCTTTAACCATTTTAAAGAGTCGTAATCATATTTGACCCAAGTCTGAATCATACGCGACCCAAGTCTGATCCATACTCGACCAAGTTTGAACCATTCTGGACAGAGTGTGAACCGTATTAAACCAAGCCTTAACAATCCTCGACCTAATATTGTCTGTTTTTAGTCTATTAAGAGTCCAATTTTTACTATATGAGTTCTCATGGCTTGAAATTTGACCAAGAGTACTATATATGTACCTGTATTTTTACTACAATGTAAAAAAAGTAGTGTATTGTTGAATAAAATATAGTCATATATTCAAGAGTGATAATGTAGAGGTTGTTTGGTCAAGTATGGTTCATACTTTGGTCGAGTATAGTTCAGACTTTTAACTCCTTTGGTCGACGTTGAAAATAGGTCGATAACTGGTTAAGTACAGGGCAAGAACAGGTTGAGAATGGGTTCAGTGTGGTCAACATAAGGGTCAAATACAAGTTCAGACTGTTTAGTATTGTCCAGACTTCTGTCGAGTAATATCAAGTAAAATTTAGACAAATTCAGAATAGTCAGGTACAATTCAGCACAGTCGAGTACCGAGTACAAAAAATGCCCATTTCAGACTTTTAATGGTTGTAGTGTCATGCACAGTTTTCATTTACAATGATCATCAAACTATTGTGTCACGGCAGAATGACATGATTCCTGTAGGCCGTGACCTAGTAAGATTCTTTAATATGAAGTTCGTTTAAATTTCCATATTTTAATTCAAACTACTTGAGAGAAAAAAAAAATTTAATGTAAAATCAGATTGTCATTTATATTAGGCATTATGTTCCAAATTGATAGTGTTATGCTGGTAAATATAATTGTTGCTAATTCTATTTTTCAAAATCTTGTCTTATTTTACATAAAAGATTTCATGTTTAGAATTAATTTGGACGTTTAAACATTTTCTTTCATGTTTTACTTTGACAAGAGAAAACAAAGGATTCCTTTTCCTGTGTAGTTCAATGATATAGAGCTATGGTAATTCATATAGACTTTTATGGAATTTTATGGGTGTTTTGTGTAAACAAATGAGAATTTTCAAATCACTGATCACGAAAGTAGTAAAATCAAATTATATATATATTCCATGTACAAATCATCATGTTTATTGAGACAATCAAACGGGTATTGATTTTGTATAACAATAAAACTGTAAATATACTCACAATGTTCGTTTATTTGATCAAACAAGTCTATTATTCGTCTTACTTAGTTTGTACAAAAAAAGCACATTTATGAAGTGGGAATTGATTGACTGAATGTTCAAAGTAATTATACATCACGAATTCCCACTACTACTGGGCTCAATTCTCGGAAAATTACCTGTAACAAGATATACTTGATCTACCGTTTTTGAGCTAGAGTTTGTTAATATTTTAATGTTCATTCTTGAAACCCTGGTGTCCGTTTCACATTATTTTTGGTTAATTACATCCTTCTGTTACTTTGAATATTTGGCCTCCATCAACACTGATACAATACTTTCAGAATGCGAATTTAACATTAACGGTGCCAATTTTACTGGAGCAGATGCGCATTTCGACCATAAATGTCTCTTCAGTGATACTCGAGGCAAAAAGATTTGAAAATCAAAAACTTAAAAAAACGAAGAGCTTATAAATAAAAATGATGAAAATGTATAGGCAAAGCCGGACAAGGAATCGAGCCTTGCATGATAGAGATATATTCCTTAATTCAAAATATTTTCCAAAATTGTTTTATAGCAAATTTTAATAACACAATATCCGTATGTTTATTGCAGTACCGCATTACTGAATATGGTGCATCAAAATGAATTGGTTAAAATAATAGCGATAGATAAGTGGTTGGCTGTTCTGCATATATACAGTTTTTGTCAGTCTGATTTAAGAAGGGGTTGTTTTCTCAAAGATGCATGCATTTGCAATAAAGCGGTGTTAGCATTGACTGTTCAACAAGAGATGTAGCTGGTACGCCGAAAAATCAGACTCAGGTCGCCACTTTCATTTCAAAGTACCCGTTCAAAGTCAGAAATATGACAGTCAATGGCAAATAAGTCCCAAACAACTTCATGGATATTTATCCGCAATAAGCGGAAACGTAAATGAACTTTATGTTTATATATATGCAAATAAGTTTGGTACATTTGTTATTACGCAACATTATACTTAGTTGATTTGTAACTAAAGAATGGGCAATATGATAAATATATATCTATCTGGATTATACGTGTCGTTGTGCCAAGTTTCAGGCTAACTTATAGGTTTGAATATCCCTTTGGTATCTTTCGCCTCTATTTTACTAAAAACAGTAATGACTGAATTGTCTCTGTGATAGACTTAGGGATAATCTATAATCTCTTTTCTATTGGCGAATCCTTAATGATATTTTATTAAACGACTATCATCTTTTATGTAAATATCGGTTAACTAATTACATTTTATTCGGTAAAACTAGTCCATTAATATTATAGTATGGTAAAGATATAATTTGATTTCTTACAGTAATTAAAAGTTGCTGCCACTGTTGAGTTTTTTTGTTCAACCCACCGCTTCATTTCCTTAGTGCAATTAGCAATACCAAAAATAAGTAGATGTGGTAATCCGGGTATACCATCATTCGAGAAAATGGTATTCACAGTGTATCCTTGAGAACTACTAAAATATTGCAAATTCTATCACATGTGATTATGGAACCGATCTGTCACAAAAGATGGTCGCTTTAACTGAAATAATTTAAACCTTTAGTCCTTTGTCAATGATTTATTCATAGACTGATGTTATATTGTACACATATGATAAATGTTGATGGTCCTCGTAAAATGTGATTTTGTTGTTCATCTGAAATCCAGGTTGGCTCTCTTAAGATACGAAATTGCCGTAATTAATATTGGGATTAACCTTTATGAACAGATTTTATAAACAAATTATAAAATTACAAAATATTGTACTTGGACGATGATATGATGCGTCTTCCTCTTATATTTAATTGTGTTATTCAAGATGGCATCCGTCCCATATGTCGCAAGAATGATAAAACAAACAAAAAGGAGCATAAAATGTAATATATGAAGCAGTCAATTAGACAGCAACTCAGTGGCACACAAACCCAAACCGGCAAATCTCTATACAATATATAACGCTCAATCTACATTTTTAAATCTTTAAAGACTCAAGCATGTATGTGTATCACAATCAAAACGGAAGTGATCTGTATATGAAACTAACTGGTCCATTAGAGGACTGAAACAAAACTAAACAAAACAACATAATTCCAAATGTCGCATGTTATATCAGTGAGTTATGGTATGCATCTTTTCAATTCAGAAAATACAGTACATTTCGACGGCATATTAATACGGAGGAAAAGATATTAGCGGCAAACTCCATTTTAACTTGGTTTGTAGTGTTGTTCTCTCTTTAAAGTTAACCATGCTTCTCCTTCTATTCATATTCAATTGATGAGATCTTTTCGAACTGCTTTTTGCCACTGGAAGTTAAGCAAATCGATACAAGAACAATAAAACAATGTGAACGTTCAATACAATTAAAATTCAAATACAGACATTAAAAATAAAAATTGGTTCAAACCTGCATTATATTGAATATTTAAAGAAATAAAACATTTCTATATAGTTCTCAAGTCAATTTCACATTACTTCATCGTTTCAATTTTTATACATGATAAATAGCTCACAGGGTATCATTTGGGAATAACTTGAAGAAATCGTTTCTATACTTGTGAAAGTGTACACGTTATAAAGTGTTGGCTTGGGAACAATTGTAATTAAGAAGGAGAATGGAAATAGAACTAGTCAACTTTACGAATCAAAACTATTGGTTTTCTACCTCTGAAAACGCACTATGATATTGGGCTTTCATTTTTCTTTCCATTCACTATTTGAAGACAAAAAAAAAAACGTTCAATAAACGTCACATATATAACGGATAACAGGAAGTCTAGACACAGGTAGAAAATAACAAAATCACTTCGTTTGAATCGTCTTTTGGAGAAACTCTGATAAGGGAGCTATAAGAATTAAACGGTAAGAAGGGAAAATGAATAAAAAGCCGTTACTCTAAATGACAACTGAAGTCAGTTTTCCGGAGCACATGAGATCGATGGGGGGGGGGTTCGTATTGCTCCGTCTTTAGCTGTCTATGTTGCGTTTTGTGTACTGTTGTTTGTCTGTTGGTTTTTTTCTTTTTTTAGACATGGCGTTGTAAGTTTATTTTCGACTTATGAGTTTGAATGTCCCTTTAGTATCTTTCGTCTCTCTTTGAAACGGCGTAGTCATTAGGTGGTACAACAAAGTCACTGGGAATCTCAGAATAAAAGATATCAAATTTGAAATGAACGTTGGTTATTAAACATTTAGTCACTGGTTGTACATATATATAAATGAAAGCACTATGACGTGCGCGTCTTTTAGTTAGTCTCTTTTTAAACATGGATGACCCCGACCATGTGTTTTTCTAATACAATAAATCTATCATGTTTTCATTGTTAGTTTAGAATAGGGAAATATGAATTTGGAAACCGTGTATTTCAACCTTTCTTATAAAACTGTTTCGGATTAGCATCTTATTGAAACATATACGTAAATATTAAGCAATTATACAACCTAACTTTATGGAACGCCACAGCTGTCTTATGTGGAACTCTGATATTACTTTATGTTGTTTTATTATTACTTGATGATATTTTGTCTTTACTTAATATGGTTTTGACATTACGTAATGATGTTTTGATATAACTCAATATGTAATAGTCATTACTTAATGATATTTCGATATTACACGATATGGTTTCGTATTGACTTGGTATGGTTTTGTCATTACTCAATATGGTTTTGTCATTACTCGATGTGGTTTCATCATTATTTGATGTGGTTGTGTCATTAGTCAATGTGGTTTTAACATTACTTGATGTGAATGTGACTTAACGTTATGTAGTTGTTTCATTACATGATGTGGTTTTGTTATTTCGTAATATGGTTTTAACATTACGTAATGATGTTTCAAAATTTGACGATTTTACACTACATGATGTGTTTGTTTCATTATTTGATGTGGTCCTGTCATTCTTTGATGTGGTTATCCCATTACTTGATGAGGTAAAATCACGTGACCAATTCGGAAAAAAATATGTTCTATTTTTAAACAGATTTCAATATGTCATTTGTTTAATGTGCTTTGGATGGGTATCGCTATCCATTGAGTTAAAATTAAAATTAAAGTTCGAGTGGTTGTTAAGAGTTATTTGGTGTGAAAAAGGGGAACGGCAGACAATAATAAGAAAAAAAGTATTAAAAAGTTTACAGTATTTCGGACATAGTTGGAATATCTCCAAACCACTTGGTCTTGTTGTTTTTATACGACCGCAAAAAAATTTTGCGGTCGTATATTGGTATGACGTTGGCGTCGTCGTCCGGCGTCGTCGTCCGGCGTCGTCGTCGTCGTCGTCGTCCGAAGACACATTGGTTTTCGAACTCTAACTTTAGTTTAAGTGAATGGATCTCTATGAAATTTTACCATAAGGTGCAATACCACAAAAGGAAGGTTGGGATTGATTTTGGGGGTTATGGTACCAACAGTTGAGGAATTAGGGGCCAAAAATGGGCCAAAACTAAGCATTTTTGTAACTTCCAGACATAACTTGTGTTAGTGTATTGATCTTTATGAAATTGTACTACAAGGTTCCATATCACAAAGGGAAAGCTGGGTTTGAGTTTTAGGGTAATTGCCCTAAACGTTTAGGAATTTGGGACCAAAAAGGGGCCAAAAAACAAGCATTTTTCTAGTTTCCAGACAATAACTTGTGTTCAAGTGTATGGATCTCTCTGAAATTGTACTGCAAGGTACCATACCACAAAGGGAAGACTGGGATTGAGTTTGGGGGTGATGAATCATAAGGGGGTTCAAAAAATTTGAGGGGGATTATTTTTCCTTTTTTTTCTTTAAAATTTGCCATTTTAAATTGGTTATTTCTGATTTATATATAAAAGCAAATAATAATGATATAGTTTGAATAGGTAAATTAAATTTTTTTAAGTTCTTAGACCACATTCATTCTGTGTCAGAAACCTATGCTGTGTCAAATATTTAATCACAATCCAAATTCAGTGCTGTATCGAGCTTGAATGTTGTGTCCATACTTGCCCAAACTGTTCAGGGTTCGAT